GATAGAGATATAGATACAGATACAGATACAGATGCAGATACAGATACAGATACAGATACAGATACAGATACAGATACAGATACAGATATAGATACAGATACAGATACATAGATACAGATACATAGATACAGATACATAGATACAGATACATAGATACAGATACATAGATACAGATACAGATACATAGATACAGATACATAGATACAGATACAGATACAGATACAGATACAGATACAGATACAGATACAGATACAGATACAGATACAGATACAGATACAGATACAGATACAGATACAGATACAGATACAGATACAGATACAGATACAGATACAGATACAGATACAGATACAGATACAGATACAGATACAGATACAGATACAGATACAGATACAGATACAGATACAGATACAGATACAGATACAGATACATAGATACAGATACATAGATACAGATACATAGATACAGATACATAGATACAGATACATAGATATACATACATAGATACAGATACATAGATACAGATACACAGATACAGATACATAGATACAGATACATAGATACAGATACATAGATACAGATACATAGATACAGATACAGATACATAGATACAGATACAGAGATACAGATACACAGATACAGATACATAGATACAGATACATAGATACAGATACATAGATACAGATACATAGATACAGATATATAGATACATGGGTACAGATACATGGATACAGATACATAGATACAGATACATAGATACAAATTTATAGATACAGATACATAGATATAGATTTATTGATACAGATACATAGATACAGATACATAGATACAGATACATAGATACAGATACATAGATATACATACATAGATACAGATACATAGATACAGATACACAGATACAGATACATAGATACAGATACATGGATACAGATACATAGATACAGATACATAGATACAGCTACATAGATACAGAAACATACATACAGTTTTATAGATACAGATCTATGTCACGTTTTCAGCTCGTGTCACTCGCACATGTGCGCCAAAAAGTATGCAGTATAGGAATTAAAAGACTTTTAATATCCAAAGTTCTTCCTCCACTAAAATTGTTCCTTGCTGCTGTTCAAGTATTATACGCTGCAGGTATACTTCTGCTAGCAAAGCGAATACTCCCCGCTTCCAACTCAAGATCAGCTTTAAAAGATAATTCAATTTTGTGATTGCGCCCAATGGCTAAAGTAGGTCTGCTACGTTGTTATTCTAACAATTTCGCATATTGAAATGGCATTAACGTATATATTCTATTTTTTGTGCTGCTTGTGGCTATTTATAGATCGCTGCCAGAGCTGCCATTTCGCGGGTTATCGAATGTCACCTACTTAAGCGTCGCCGACAACGAACTCGACGAGATTCCGAAGCACGTCTTGAATCACATGCCGCTGCTGCAGACCTTCGACATCAGCCGCTGCAACATACGAGTCGTGCAGCAGGACGATCTGAAAGGCATACAGAAGATCACGAATTTGATATTGCCCAGCAATAATATAACTCGACTGGATCGTGGCGCCTTTCCGCTCAGCTTGCTCATCCTGCATTTGGGTCGAAATCAATTGGAATCGCTAAATGGATCGCTGGCCGAATTAACCAATCTTCATTCACTGTTTATCAATGCGAACAATATCAGTGACCTCGATAAGGAGCTGCCGGATGGAAGTAAGCTGCGTCTCCTCATGGCCCACAATAATCGACTGGAGCATCTGCCCGCTAATATGGCCACCATGGACGACCTGGAGATCATTCATTTGCATTTCAATCGCTTGCGATCGTTCGACCGGGTGCTGAGGAATGCCCAGCATTTGACCGAGCTGCTCGCGAATAACAATGAGCTGGAGTACTTGGCCCAGGATGAGTTCCAGTCCTGCCGCCAGCTGGACACCCTGAATCTGGCCTGCAATCATATTCGCTCGCTGAACTTCTCGCTGCATCCGATGGTAAAGCTGACGCGGGGCAACTTCTCGTTCAACGACATTGAGGAGTTCTCCATGGAGGAGCTGCATGGCATGCGCTCCCTGAGGGTGCTGGATCTGTCCTATAATCGCATTCAGCGTCTGCTGCCCGCCCACAAGCACAGCCCCGAGCTGGCTCTCATCGATCTTCGCCTGGATCACAATCAAATTGTTACTCTGGACTCGGCGTTGGCGGGCCTTAGTCATCTGCGCATCCTTAGCCTGCCAGAGAATCGTATCGAATATCTACAACCGGGAGACTTGAATGGCATGAATCGACTGGAAATACTCGACTTGACCGCCAATCAATTGGTCGAACTGAAGCAGCTGGAAACGGTAAGCATTTGATGGATTCATTGATGATAAGATTATGCTTAACTTCTCTTCTACTTTTTGCAGACTCTGCTGCCCAGTTTAAAGATCCTGAAGGTGGCTTATAACAACATCACGAAGCTGGAGCACGACTTTTACGGCCTGCCCATGCTCTGCCAGGTCAACCTGACCAACAATCAAATCTCGAGCATATCTAGTGAACTCGTCACCAACACGCGCTGCAAGAATCACAATGTTCCTGGCAAACTGGAGATGTTTTTAGATGGTGAGTGAATAGAGGGAGAGGGAGAGATAGGTAGAAAGGGAGAGGAAGAAAACCCGTAGAAATAGAAGTTAATAAAGGTCAAGAATGAAAAGGAATAAATATTGAGGGGGACTCTGAGAAAAAGAGACAGGAAAAACTATGAAAAAAAGAAAAAGAACATGAATATCTCTCTCAATTTATCATAATTTTAGTCCAGCTATCGGTAAATCAATCTTTTCTTTCTGCCTATAAATCGAATCAATTCTCAGGCTAAAAATAAGATATAATACTAGTTCTCACATTATATCTACATGCTCTCCCTTAGACAATCCCATCATGTGTGATGTGCGCCTGAACGAGCTGTGCCGTCTGATGATCGCGCAGGATGCGCGCATACGTGGCCGATCGCAGTGCTTCGAGAATGATCAGGAGGTGTGCACGGTGCTGCCGATGCTCTACAATTACGATTTGCCGCTGCTGGTGACCAAGCTGAAGATTGTCGATGCTGAGGATGCGAAGCCGCTGGTCCAGATGCTGGTGCCGTCGCCCATCTTGATCAAGAACAACGACGAGCTGTTGCCGCCGATAATTGCGACACTCGGACAGCCGCTGATCAATCCGGTTATTATAGCTGCACCGCCGGCAGTGGCACCCACATTGCTGCTGGCCGCAGCCGCAACCACGCCGCCGCCAGTGCTCGGGGAAGCGAATACAACTAACCCAACAACAACAACAACATCGTCAACAACTTCGACAACAACAACAACAACGACAACGAATCCACCCACAGTTGGTGCAGCAACGACACCCACTCCGGCCAATCCGATGGATATGGTAACCACCACAGCGCCGACCACCACAACCACCAGCACCACAACGCCGCAACCGAATGATACGCTGCCCGTGGTCCTGGACATCGAGGAACCCAATCAGATGAAGCCATCGCAGATGAATGCCACAGACGAGGCTGTCGAGCTGCCGCCAGAGCCGAAGCCCAATCCGGTCGAGCAGGCCGAGGCCGATACGGTGGCCAAGACAGAGTATGAGACGGTCGAGTATATACCGAATGTGGTGTTGGTGCCCACGCCGGTGCCAGCGAGCAAATCGAATCTGCTCGACGAGGACGCCGACTCGCAGTCCAATTCGGTGCACGAGGAGTATCCGTCGGTGCTGCTCGGTGATGTGGAGCATGCGGCACAGAATCTCCAAATACCCGAAGAGCCGCCGGAGCAGTGAAGAGTCGCTATGGGGAGAAGAAGAAGCAGAGAAAAAAATAACTAAAACTAAAAAAACACACACACACACATACACATCACAAGATTTATTTAACTGTAAAGGCGCTGGCAGGCGTAGGCGAGTGGGAGTAGCGTGCTTTTTTGGGGGGCGTGGCAAGCAACGAAACTTTTTTGGATTGTATGTCTTAAGTTAATCTAAGTTTAAACGCGAAATCGAATCGAACAAATAATGTCAAAGCAAAGAAAAAGTTCACAAAAAAAAAAAAAAAAGAGAATCAGCAAAATATTTTCAGGCGGATCCGGACCCGAACAGACGTACGGACGAACGAAACTTTGGACCGGCTTTAAGTTATAAGTTATAATTTGGGGGTGGGTGCAGCTTGTCTGGCCAGTAGGAAAGCAGGAGAAGAGAGAATATAAATATTTAAATAACTGTATACACCATATACATACGTTGAAAAGTTTTACAAGTAGGTACTTAGAGTTAAACAATAAAAACACATACAGAAAAAAAAGAGGAACAAAAAAATAAAAATAAAATAAATAAGAAAAAAGTTAACGTTAAAACAGAAGGAAAACGAACAAAACACATACACTCACACACACACACAGCAGTAGCAACGCACATAAAAACACAGAATGAAACTATATATTGTTATCAGTTGGTTAACAAATGAATTTAGTTTGTAGCGCGTAATTATATAAACGAAAATGAAAATGGTATTCTAAATAAAGTCGTAAAGAAAAAGAATTAAATGTTTCAATATTGCATTCATGCCAAAGTCGAACATAAAATTTTTTAAATGCTCGCGCCATAAAGCAACTTTTCGATAGCTATTAATAATATTTGCTGTTAATTAACATCACTCCGCACTAACATTGTGTGGAGGCTTCTCAATAACACAACAATGTTAGTTAACATACCTATCGATATTTATGACCATGACTTGCATTAGCTGCTTCAGCTAAATAATATTAATTTAATTTAATACAATTATAAGAATCAAATATAACAAAAATAATAGCTTATATTTTTTCAATTCTCAATTGTTTCTCTTCTAATTTCAGTTTTAGCTTTTTTAATCGACAGTCGCATTGAGCTATCGATAGCTATTCTGACGCAGTTCAATCTCCACTATTATATCGATATATCGCATAACTTCTTTTCTCTAGTTATACCATCGTCAGCGATAGGAGACGGAGCAAAACAGCAGCAGAAAAAGAAAGCAATCGCAAAAGCCATACAAAACAAGAAAATCCATTGCTCTGTTTCATATAATATTTGGCTAACAATTGTGTTTTGTGCAAAGAAAGAATTGTGTAAATAACGCGTACACTACAACTGCATATAATTGGTTTCCATTGCAATTTTGTTGACGTCGCCGTCTGTTGTCATCGTCTTGTGACTGTGTCGGGCATACAAAAAGAAAGTCGTAAAAATATATCAACCTAGCTGGGAGGAGTAGTTGTCGTTGTTTCTTGGAGCCCCACACACAGACACATACACATATACAGATATATAGAAACACTATAAACTATATACACACACCTACACAGATACACGCACACACATCCACGTACACACACAGAAACAAACACGGACTAGCTAACTGCAGCAAACGCAACGCACAGAGCGGAGAGAAGAAGTATTGCAGCAGGTAAGCGGACGTGGGCAGCGTTTGGGGCGAGCATTTCTCTTTAGTTTGCTTCTTTGTGTTTGTATTTTGTTAATTTTTTTTTTTATATATATTTTATTATTGGCAGCAAATACTGTAAACAAGGCAAGCATATTGTACATATGTGTACATGTATGTGTATACGTGTATGTACGTCACAAATGTGTGCCTCACTTAACGGAAGTTGTTATTTTCGTTGTGCACTAAGGAAATAATAATAACTGTGCGCGCTTCTTAATAGTTTTCGTAGTTGTAGTTCTGATTTATTTTTTTTCATTTATATAGTATGTTTATTTTGTTGATAACAGTTGTTACTGTGTATTTTCGCCGGCTCGTTTCGCCGCCGCCTCGCCGCTTAGTCATAGCTGGAACTGGTTTATGTTGCCCATTTCGCCGCAATAGAAGTGACTAATGAATGAAGGTGTCTTTCTATATCAGTTGTCGTTGCATACCAACTATAAATATAAATATACAAATTCACACAAATATGTAGCTATGAAATCTAATCTTTATTTTCGTTTTCGATTTGTTATCACAGAGCTACTCACACATACACACACACACGCACTTAGGCACACACTCACACACAAATGCAAGGCATACGCCCCACATTGAACGCCCGTATGCACCAAATGCAACATTAGTAATGAGAGAAAGAGAGTCGGAGAGGCAGAGAGAGAGAGTGTAAGATCAGAGACCTGCACAGTGGGCTACGCTATGCAAATGCTGACTGACCTTCGACTACACATACCCCCATTATCGATTCCACACATTCGCAACGTTGCGCTAAACGATAAAACGGACAAGCCGCAAACAAAGGGGTTCATAATGGCATTAGACAACAACACACAAAGAGCACGGAATATTTTCTCTAATGTGTGTGCTCGAGTGTGCTTGTTGTTGCTTGTTGGTTGCCATTTGAATAACATTCGTATCAATTCGCATCACGCACTCATTCGCCTGCTCAGTCTCGCTTGTGATCTCGATCTCGGCAAAGCTCTCGCCCGCTGCTGCTGCTGCGCTTCCGTTGTGCGAATTGTTTTTTAGCCAGCCGTTCATTGAACTTGACGTTAAATTCAAGGCTTCTCTGGTCGCAAGCTGTTCAGTTTATATCTACACGCACACATGCACACCCATACCAACACACACACGCCCTAATATATTTTCGTCGTCGTCGTCACTGCAAAAGTCAAGTGCAAAATTAAAGCGTCACAACAAAGAAAGTTCGCGTCGTAACAACCACCCCACAAATTCGCCGTGTTCCCTTTCTCTTTTGCGCTAATGGCCTGTTGGTGTCTGGCATTCGTTTGCTCAAGTTCAGGCCAATGCACCTCCCCCTCACTTCCTCAATTCATTTGACTAAATTTGCTTGTTTCGTATTTTATTTGTTTCTTGTGCGACATTTAATTAAATTATTCGTGTTGCTTTATGCTACTATTTCTGCTGCAGCGAGCAGAGAGCGAGAGGAAACAAACCAAAATAAACAAACCGCTAGCCACCGGTCCGCATTTCAACTACTCTCTCAGTCTATCTCTCTCTTTCTCTCACTGATCTGCACGCACGGTCCATTATTACAACTGAGCAGCGGTCAATGAATCCCGCAGCATTCACAAAAACTTACTCACACACACACACTTACAGATGCACAACATATACACATACATAGGTAGACTCGTTCGACTAGTTTCGAACTCTTGTGCTCTTTTCGAGTTCGAAATCTGCACGAAGTTTCTTTTGAAGCCGGCTCCAATATGTGTCAAGTGCGTTACTCACTCACACTTTAACGGCAACTACGCATTCCAACTCGTTCTCGATTCTCGTGATGTCGAAATATCTGTGTGCTAATTGTCTACCTTCCTCTGGCTCTGCTTCTGCCTCTGGCTTTGAGTGACAGCAAGCAGAATAAACTCTTATTGCGCGCTGATATCTTATCAGCTTTAAATTAGGCAACGTCGTAAAATCTCCTAGATCTCTGACGTGAATTGTGTATTAACTTGTGTTGTTTATGTGCAAAAACATTCGCTAAAAGTTTGTTTACAAACCATTAAAAGAAATTGTATTTAATTGCATTAGCACATGCGAAATTAGTGTGTGTTTTTCGTTGTTTAATTCCTCTACCCATTGATTAGCAGTCGAAGGTCAGGCAGCATAGACACCTTCCTTCTGCTGTCTTCGGTTTGTTCGATTTTCTGTCAGTGATAAAATACCTACAGTTATAGTTAGTTCTCATTTTGTTTTGTATAATGCAGCTTAGCTGCAATTTTGCTTATTCCAAACTTTTGCTATTTATAGCAAATACCCTTTCCCATTCTCGTCGTCTGTTTGCTGCATTTTTGTGGCTTCTGTGATTTTGAATAGAGCGGACAGGAAAGGGTATATTGCCAAGATCTACAGCGTGTAATTAGCACACCAGTCTTATAATTTCTCTTATACAATTAACATATACAACACTCAGCTTTTGTCTGTCTACGTTGTTTGCAAAGAGCATTTTATTCTCGACTTTGTTCAGAGATTTTTATTAGTTTTTACTAGTTTGTTTATTTAAACTATTATTTTATGTAAATTGAATTACAAGTACCTCCGGCGTGTTTAGGTTGTTGTGGGTCTATTCTAGACTTGAACTTGGACCTGCACCGCGAGCGCTATTTAGTTTCATTTTCTTATGTTTTCTTTAAAGTTATATAATTTCGTTGCACTTATTGTTTTAATGTGCCCTAATACTTCACAACACTTCTAATTCTCTATATACTTACAAATATTTATACATATATCTCTATGTACTCTTATACTATGTATTTTGATTGTATTATCTTGTATCTCATACTTAGCTTGCTTTGGAGCACTTATAACAGCAAAACAAAAAAGCTAAAGAAAAATTCAAGCAATTAAAAAACACCTCCTATATATAGAGCATATAGAGAAAGCAAAAAAGCAAAAGCAAACAATAAATCTACTTGTATAAGTCAATCGCAAAGAAACAAAAAACAAAAACAAACCGAAAAGTAAGTCTTAATGTTTTCTTTGCATAAACTTTTACTTAAAATACACCGCCTATGATTTTTTGATATACATATTATTAACATTTATATTTGATACATGACACTATGAATGTGAACATGGGTATAACAGTTGACTGAATCTTAAAGCCGATTAAATTAGAACCTTTAAACAGAGCTTTTAGTTGAACAGTAGCTAAGAATTTGTATTGTTTTTTCTGAAAATGTATAAACCACACGCATTTGTTTTTGAGTTTTTGGACAAAACACACACACACAGGCATACACACATAGATACACGCCCACCTCAGATTATTTTATATGTAAAAGTTTATAAAAAAAAAGTTACAGTGTCAAAGATCGGATGCGCCCCTGTGCGATATATTTGAAATTTGTTGTGTTTTTCTGTTTGTATTGATTGTATATTCATATAAATTAAATACATATATACATATGTGTATTGTAATGTGACAGTCATTTCAAGACAGAATTCATTTTGTTTTTGGTAGCATTTAAATGTATAGATACAAAATTCGAGCAAAACATAAATTTGATTTGAAAGCGAAATTTCGTGAGAAAGGTTTAGCAGATCTAGAGTATTAGTACAAACATAAACTGTAGACGCAGAGAATTGTATTCAGTTCTAGCCATGTTAATACGCCTCTTCACTCCTTTCGTCACACAGTGAGAAAACAAAAAGACGATATGCAGGTCAATGTCGCCGGGCTACGCAGAAACATCAAAAATCTCGCGCACAACTATTCCGATGCACAGGTAAGTTGAATTGAAATATCTTTAGCCATATCCAAATCACTCACACATCTCTTTCTCTGGTTGTCAGGTCAAGGTACGCGAGGCAACTTCCAATGATCCATGGGGGCCATCGGCCACGATTATGGCCGAGATAGCCGACTTGACGTACAATGTGGTTGCCTTCTCGGAGATAATGCAAATGATATGGAAACGTTTGAATGATCATGGCAAGAATTGGCGCCACGTCTACAAGGCGCTCATACTGCTCGAGTATCTGATTAAGACGGGCACGGAGAAGGTTGCCCAGCAGTGCAAGGAGAATATATTTGCCATACAGACGTTGCGCGAGTTTGTCTACTATGAGGAGGGCAAGGATCAGGGTACGCATGTGCGCGAAAAGGCCAAACAGCTGGTTAATCTGCTCAAGGACGATGAGAGGCTCAAGAACGAGCGTGTGAAGGCGTTGAAGGCCAAGGAACGCTTCGCTCTGCATCCGAGTGGCTTTGGCAGCGATGGCTACATTGATGGACCCTCACAGCGTGACATGCCGCCGGGTTGGCAGGAGGAGCCGCCCAAAAATGCCTCCGAGCTGGAAATGGTGCGTCCGCAGACAGCTGGCGAGGAGGAGCTGCAGTTGCAGCTGGCGATGGCCATGTCGCGGGAGGAAGCCGAGCAGGAGGAGGCCAAGCGGCGAAGCGACGATGTGCGTCTGCAGTTAGCGCTGAGCCAGAGTGAACAGGACTTCAAGTAAGTGTAATTGAATAAATTTTATAAATTATTTATTAATATTATTCCTACTACAACAGAGATTCTAGTGGACGACCCATATCGGCGCCTAAGAAGGAGGAGCAACAACAGAGTCATTTGCTAGATTTGCTGGACATCTCGCTGGGCGCGACAAGCATTTCGAGTCCACCATTGGGCGCTGCTGGCGGCGCTGCAGCTGTTGTGGATCCCTGGGCTGCGCCTCCGAACCGTGCAGCTAGTCAACTGTCAGATCCTTGGTCAGGCGCTGCCGCCTCGCCCCACGTCGATCCATGGCATCCTGCGGCTGCGCCACGCACCATTATGAGTGCAGGTGTGCCGCTGGGAGCTGGTGCACAGGCGCCACCTCAGGCATTGGGCGGACCTGGCGATGCCTGGGGCCTGCGCACACAGTCACCATCTGTGGCATCGGGCTCCTCCAACGAGGGTTGGCTACAAACGAACGGCAATGCCAATCAAAATGGTCGCATCGCAGCGCCAGCGCCTGCGGACGCGTGGCTGACCAAAACAGCAGTCAGCCCCGGATTGGCTGCTGCTCCACCTACAACACACGCGGCCAGCAATGGTGGCTCTGCGGATCCTTGGCTTAGCGAATCACAGCCGGCAGCAGCTGCAGCGCCAGCTGCTTCAGCAGATCCCTGGACAGCAGCGCAACCAAGTGCATCTAACTTGGACGATCCCTGGAAGGCAATGCAGACAGGCGCCATTAAGGTAAGCATCTGACCAGCAGCGATAAACGCTTTAAGTTAATCTCTCAATTCTTGTCTTGCAGAAACAATCACCCGACTTTGATGAGTTCGATTTGATAACCAATCGCAATAAAAGTGCCGAACATAACAATTCTAATGCCTCCAATAACAACAATGGTATGTTCACCCAATCCTTGATAAACTCAATTAGCTAACCAGTTTCGATTGCTCGACAGCTTCGCTGCTGGACGACATGGATCCGCTTTCGTCGAACTATGGCAACAACAGCGGCTCAGTGCACCCATCAACAGGTGCCACCACAAAGAAGCCCTATCGTGATCCGCTTGCATTCCTTGGCGAAAATTCAGCGCTGGTTAATTTGGATAATCTAATTAAGCCAAATACGCCACAGACACAGTCAGGACTGGCGCCCGCCTACAATCCATTCGCGGACAATGTGATGCCACCCAAAACGAATCTATTCCAGCAGCAACAGCCAGCCGTAAATATGATTAGAAATTCTCTAGAGACTTGAATCTAATTAGCGTTGTTGTTAATCGAATCAGGTGCCGTCCATCAATCAATTGAAACAACAGCCGCCCTTTCCCGTCAATATGAATCAGGATCCGTGGGCGCCGGTTACCGGTGGCGTCAGTGCAGCTTCTCAGGTGAGTGTGCGCTAGGTTTATGTGGTTGTCATATATCAAAATATTGTCTAAGATTCTTTCTGCGATTAGTCTAATCATTTTTTTTTGGGTGATTCTTTTACTTTACCTTTCTACTACCTCTCTTTCTCTTCATTGCATTTTGTTTCCTCTTAAATGTATATTTACTTTGCTTTGACATTTTGAGCAACTGTTGCATGCAACAATTCAAATCCAAATCGAATCGAATCGAATCATAGCCCGATACTCTAAAGCCGATGCGTCCAACTAGCCTGCAGCTAGTGGATGACTTTCAGCTGCTAGGCGCTTTCAATAAACCCCCTACCCTGTCCCGTCCACAGCAGCAGTTCTACAATAGCAACAACAACAACATCAGCAACAATAACAATCCACAGAGCGGCAACAACAATTTCTATAATCATAGCTATGGCTACACTAGTCCCGGCATTGACAACATACGCAACATGGATATATTGGGTGAATCGCCAACGCAGCCGCATTCATATTACCACAGCCCCTCGGCCCCATCGCCCTCGGTGCAATATGGCAGCAGCAATTACAATACTCCCGGCTATTCGCCCTTTACACATAGCTATAGCAGCGCCCTATCCGAATCATTGGCCGATACGCCGGGCGTGAGCATTTCACCTTTGGGCTATGACAGCAGCAACGTGGCGCCCCCTAGCGGCATCTATGGCAACCCGAACCCAGCCATGGGCGGCACCTATTGCAAATTGGAAGTGAGTTGCTCGGAGATTTGTTGCCCTAATCCTGTTGCTCGTCGTTCTGCAGTTGTCCTTATTGCTGCTACTTGATATTGCCAGAAACAGAAACAGAAACAGATTTGCGATTTGTTGTTGCTTTGCTTGAGTTTTATTTAGTTTGTTGTTTATTTAAGATGTGTTTTTGTTTTGATATTATTTTGATTTCCTTTTTTGTATGATTTCCTTAAACAAATGCTAGAGAATGTCTTTACTGCGTCGCAGGGAATGAAACTGTATTAACTAACTGTTTACTTACCTCGAATTTTAAGGTATAGATAATAATTGCAATGCTTATAACTAAGATTTAAATCTGTTTATATCTAGAATCTAGATTGATTTCTTTTGAAATTCCATACTATAACAAAAAGTTTCAAAAAACTTAAATCATTTTTGGTTTAAGATAATCTTTATAAGGTTTATAATAATTCTAGATTCAATTAATATACTATATACTTTTATGATAATCTAATTTGTATATCCAAAACTCTACAGTTTCATTCCCTGCTTAACGCTTTGTCTCTCTCTCTCTTTCTCTCTGAATTACGCCTAAAATACTTAAGTAGTCATTGTTAACAAGCAGCTGCTAAACTGCTGAAGAAAAACAGAAACAAAAATGAGTATAAACACAGTTGATCATAATATTTTCTAATTGTAGCCAACAATGGAGGCTTGGACGCTTAAATAAAACACAAACAATAATGCAATAATATGCCATAAATACAATGCAAATGGGTAAAATGTTTTTTTCGAATGTGCATGCTCTGCTATCCAAATAATACTAGCAACTAAAGCCACAAAATGCCCACTAGCTGGCGAAACAAAAAAACAAAATCCTAAACCTAAACTACACTTAACTAACCACAACTAATATAATCGAACGTAGCTGCTAGCCAAAAATTGCATGTAGATAGTTTTGCTTGATTTAGCATTTCAATGTGTGAAGAGTTATTTAAACTAATAATTCGAATTGAATTCTTGCAGCAAAACAACAACATGCCGTGGATAAAACCTGAGGCAGCCGCTACAAATCCGTTTTTGTCCTAAGGAGTCAAACAATCAATCAATCAATCAGCATGAGCAACAGCAGCAACTAGCAGCAGCTAAAACCACAACAACAACAACCGCAGCAGCAACCACAACACATTGACGGGGAACAAGAAAGAGAAGAAGAAGAAGAAGATGAAGACAACAATAACAACAACCATACAGCAGCAATAGCAACAAACTGAATATATAAATTCACTAATAACAAAATTATGTGTAAGAAAGTATTATTAAACTGTAAAATATGTGATGTGTTGTATGAGTGAACCAACAACTACAACAACAATAACAATAACAACAACAGCTGCAACATAAACAAACATAGTTACGTGCAATGTGTAGGCTTCAACAGATTTTCTTAAATAGGTTCTCCCCCTGTCCCACTCTCCTCTCTCTCTCTCTCTCTCTCTCTCTCTCTCGCTCTCTCTCTGTCGGCTTTTAAACATACTTGTAATAGAAATCAACTCCAAATGTATAGTTAATAATAATAATGATAATAATGATAATAATATGAGCAACAACAGCACTGAGCGTCTTCAGCCGAAGCATCAACAATTGTAAAACGATCCACATTCAAGTCAAGTCCCCCGATTGGCTGCCTAATTCATAATTTATTTCCTAGCTGTTAAATGTTGTTGTAGAAACCAAAAAGGAAAAGTTAAAACAAAAATGAATGATAGATGAAAAACGTTTTGAGGATCGCTTCAGATCAGAAATTGAATTGTTATATAGCTTTAAAACAAAAAGAAATTATTAATCTGTGCATTGTCGAGAGCATATTCAAATTAATAACAGCCACAACAACAACAAACATTTTTTGTGTCTGTGCTTTGTAATTGTAAATTTTTAAAAAAATATTTTACGTTTTTTGTGACATTTATTTTCAAAAGCGAAAAGTTAGATTTTTATTAACAACAATTTTTATGAAATTTTTCAAAAAACAACAAAAAAAAAAAAAAAAAAAAAAATAGAATTTATGTGCGTTTTGTGTTTTTGGGCCACCTTTCAAAAACAAAATGCAATGCATATAATTTTGCTGTTGAACATTTTTATAGAAAATAGTTTCAAATTTACAAAACAAGCAAGAATTATATATAAACAAAATATTATTATTAATAAATGCTAAACAAGAGAAATGGTATACATTTAGGTTAGAATACGTAAATATTTTGTCTAAGCGTAACTTAATGATTAAAAACAAAACAGAAAATACAACAAAATATAAAAATATAAAACAAAATTTGATGTGAAAATGCTTCAAGAGATTTACACACGCATATACATATATATTATATATATACATATAGCTAAACATACACACACATATATATACACACACACTTGTGCTAAAAAAAAAAAAGAAAAGTAAAATTTTAAATCATATTTTCATAAAATTAAAAACTTTATTTTAACCAAAAACAAACAAACGAAAGACAAAACACTCGAAAAGTCAAAAGCCTACAAATTTCGACTGCTCGCATTGCACAACGTGGGGCGAAAAGTGCTAAACGTTTGCACGGGCACAAATTTGTCTCCTACCTCCTCCTGCCTGCAGCCCCCCCGCCCATTGCCAACGTCAACTCACATCCTCATCTCGCATGCCCAGGAGCCACCACTTGACAGCCATCGCCAGCTCTCAACACTTTGCTCTGGCCAGGATAGCAGGGGGCCTGGGCAGGGGGGCGGCAGGGGCTGAGCACGATTATGTTAATTCCAGGAGGGGGCGCAGCACCCAATGCAGCAGCAGCGGCGGCGGCAACGGCGGCGGTGGCATTAACGGAGCACGCCCACCGCATATGGCAATGATATTTTGGATGCTACGTGAATGTGGTAGATGTGGATGTGGATGTAGTGGATTTAGTGGATGTGGTGGATGTGGTGTTGCGCAAGTGGCTGGCCGACGCGATTTGGTTTTGATATTTGACATGCGCTGGGGGCCATCAGGAAACTTCGTTTAAATGAAATCAAAAGTGCACAAATGCATAATTTACACAAATTTCAAAGCAGAAAAAAATCGAATGAAGAAAATAGTGAAAAAAAAAAAACATCACTGAGCTGAGTTGCTGAATATTGATGTTAGATCAAGGAAGGAAGATGGGAGCTCAAATAACTGGGTAAGTTTTACAATTGTCGAAAAAATTGTGGATGTGAAATGGAAATTGAAATAGGTTAGGGATTAGAGATGCCTATAGATATTGTATATAAATATATAACTTTGATCTATATATAGAATGAGAAAATCTAGCTTTATAATTTTTTTTTTTTTAAACATACTATAGATATATGTTTTATGGAATTTGCAATGCCCTAGGCATTTGAGATGTGTATTTATATATAAAAAAACATGTATGACTATATCATTGATAACAATATAGAGAGTGGGATAATTTAGCTGAGTGTAGAGTTTTTTCAAAGTTGTTTTCTATAATATGTACTATATATATATTCTAAGGCTAGAGTTCCTTAAACTTTATTTTGAATATTTTTTTTTACTTCGTATATATTTGAAATCTATCAAAGATTATGCTTGGCATTCTAGCTAAGGCTAGAGTCCATTAGAATGAATTGTCATTTAAGCAGTTCCAGTTCCAGGTGCTCAATGGCATTGACGTCTGGATTGATGAAGATATTGTACGGTTCAGCCGTCGGCTATAGTCAGCGCTAATCCAAGCAGCAACACCAAGATTTTAATCTGGGCCACGTTTAAACTTTTCCGCTTGATTTTCAGTAAACAACTAATAGAACCCAGTTCAAAAAATCTTCATATTTACTGTTTTACCATTCTAGACTTCGCATGAATATTTACTTCCATTTATTTCGCTGTATAAAGAGCATCATCCAGGTGACGTAATTACGTTTTGCGAAAGTGAAATGAGCCGAAATCAAGAAATCTAATGAATCTTGTGCCTTTGCTTTTGTCTCTTGGCAAATGCCTCAATAATTGTTGCCTTCACGGGCTGGCGCATAAATCTTGCGTGCTGCGGCTGCTTTTTGTGGAGCTGCCTGGACTGGACATTGGCTACTGTTTTTCTATGGTTTTTTGTGTTTTGGTGTCCATTTTTGGTAGGGCGATGCTTCCGCATGGCACATGCCAGCGAGACACAACAATAAAACGATTAATTTCATGTAAATTTTTGCGCAATTTAATTATGTGCGAAATCTCAGCTACGGACAATGCAGGAGCTGGGGAAGAAGTGGTAGATGGAGCTGTGGTGCTGCGGGTGGCGGGGGGATGCTGTGTAGGCGGCTAGGAATAATTAGGCACTCGCTGTGCAGAAAGTGAAAGGAGCAACACGGGCAGACTAGCTGCAACTCGATGATGATGATGATGATGATAATGATAATGTTGCTTATAGTGTTCATAACGATGATGATTACGTAAACATAGCGTAATTCATTAGCTAAGTGCGTATGCAAATTTTTTATAGTATTAAGCAATCGATAAAAAGAGCTTTTTATCGATTACGAGTTTAAAGAAAAGCAGTTTGAAAAGTTGAGAGCAGAGATTTATTATACGAATTTGATAGAGCAGAGAATTAGATAATTTTTAATAATTTGGATAACGTTACGCTTGGAGGAAATTTTAAGTGAAATTATGTAAAGTTTTACTGTATGCTAAAGACATATTCCAATAGGATACTATAAAAAGGATAATTAATGCACTTGATTTGCATTGGCAGAAAGCTTTTAGAAGCTTCCGATAGTTCCTAATTATGATTCATAAGGTAAGAATAATAAATCAGGATTACATTAATGATGTAAAATTATTTTTGCATACCATGGCTTAAACTCATTTTGTGATGCAATCTACTTAGATTTGTAACTTAACATTAATTAGACATAAATGTAAACAACATTTAGAGAGCATAGCATACCTCCTTTAAATAGAGACATAGCTTAAGAGACGAACGGAAAGCGTTTCACGATTTTTGGCGAATGTGTTTGCATATTAGAGATTAATTAAGCATAAAATGAATAACATTTTCGGTAAGCATAACATTTTTAGGGTTAAATAGGGCAGCTGCGTGCTCGCATTTGCCATTTCAGTTTATTTACGAAGAGAGGGAGAAGGAGAGAAAAAATATAAGAAAAATATATAGGTAACTGAAAAAGCGCAAAAGCCATGAAAAATTGCAATTTGTATGGTTTAATTAAAAAATCTGTCAAATGCCAGTTTGTGCGCTCATTAATGAGTCTCTATGGCAGCTGGGAAGGCGACGGCAGCTACACTTAACCACTCAGCCCCGGAGCAACAACAAAATCATGCTTGACATAGCGTGAACTCCGCATAACCGACAGAGCCTACCTATACAAATACATATGTACATAGTTGTATTTATATATGTGTATGTTATATATGTTATACGTGTTTGTTTTCAGATATTTGTGTTGATATGTTGAGCTCACGTTGATGCGACTGCTGGCTATGTTGCCTGCACCTTTGACAAAACAAAAGACTTGGGGCACAAACTTTATTATTATTATTTTGGTATACTCATGGAAATGGGTTGAATGGGGTGTAATGTTTTTGTAGCTCAATGTGTGGAAGTATGTAAGTATGTAAATATATAAATACAGTTTTACGTCTGGATAAGCTGAGTTGATTCAGATACGTTCGCCGCGATCTCGAAACCGACAAAAGCTATTGAGTTGAAATTGAAAATATATATTCTAATACATATATCGAACAATTCATTCACAAGAATTTTCTTGAAATTCATAAGCATCGATAGATCATACTATCTGGAGACCTAATATTAAATACTAATTTATAAATAATTGCACACTTCAGCTGTGCCCTTAATACTAATATATCTAGTTATACTCACACTAAAGGATATCTTCAGGTCTAGCAGCCCCTTTCAAGTCACTTCATTTTATTCATACACATAAATATATATTTTCGTTAGAGATAGACTTTGTTGCCTGTCGGCTCTTGCATAATACACGCTTTGTATGTTTGCTAGCAGCTGACATGAGCCGCTTCTAAGCGCGCCAAATTGATTTTTAATTATGGGTTGTCAAGAGCTGAAAATATATAAACGAGATGAGAATCGTATTTCTGGGA